CAGAGGAAGGCAATTTGCCTGTACAAATGATACTATTAACTCTGCTATCAAGGGACTTGAGAATTACACAAACCAAAGTCATAAAAGGCTGATTTCAACAGCAAAACATTACTACAGAATTAATGGAAAGAAGAGGAGAGCAGGAAACCATCCACTGAAAAGATAAGTATGTGAGTCCACATGAAGAAATGTAAAGAAACAAGAACTGATATATATGTACAAACAAATGATAGTGTATTAATAAAGATATAAAAATGACAAAGACAATGTGTGTAACACAAGAATGTGAAAACCATTTGTGTTCAAAGTATGTGAAGTGGATGAATATGTGTACATATGTGTATTGTGTATGTGTGGTTTGTTTATGCGTTTCCAATTGGGAAACGTGTTTTCCCACAAGAGATTTACGTGTTGATGTGTAAGCGGAAAAAGTTAAGAGGCAGCTATGAAAAATTATCACAGAATATTTATAGTCCAGAGAGCGTCCTCTAATAGCAGTTTCAAGAAAGTAAGCAGAGTTAACCCCACACTTTTATCCAGATTTCTTGTCCCTAAATTGAATGTCTTTGTTCTAATATAGTATGCTATTGTCTCAGTTTCTTATTTTTGCCTCCAAATTGTATGCATCTTTTTTCTAACACTTTCCTTTTCCCGTCTCTGATTCAATGATACATGTTAATGATTTTCTTGTAATATTAAAACAAATAGCTTTATTTCAGATTCATAAATTGTTTCTTTTAAAGCGATTTTTCTTGTCATGCTTGATAATTATTTAAAGTCATTTTATCACTGTAACTCTAATAATTTTTAACAAACTGCTTGATGTTGCTGTTTTCACTTTTTTTATTATGAAAGTATTCTCCAGTTTCTCTTCTTAGTAACTATCACTTAGCATTATTTTGTGATTAAATTGTCAGTTGTTTTTATGATCCCTATATTCAGCCATGTACAAAATATTCAAATCAAATCAACTTTTGGCTTTCTCAAAAGCAAACAAGAATAATTCAATCAAAACAATATTAATGTTACTCTCCTTTATTTACAACTGTAGCAATGCACAAATATTGCTCCCAAAACCACAGAAAAAATCTGTCAATGCTGTTTGGCTAAAAATAATGTCTGGAATTCTTCCAATTACACAAAAGCTACCAAAGAACTACAATCTCAATTCTATTAGACTTTTGGGAATTCTAATAGATGAAAGGCTTGACAAATAAAGATTTTCAAAGTATTTTCTTCAGATACATGTAAAAGAAAAAAATGGAAGAGAATTCCTTAAATAAAGAATTGGATAAATCACAAATCCCTTTAAAAAATTTTCTACAGCAAAATACTTGGGGTTTTTTTTTGGGGGGGGGGTAATCATTTCATCTAAGCAAGGTAGTAAAGCCACTAAGACACAAGAAGTTACTGAGTGTGAAAGAATAAGAAAAAGACTATGGAAACACCTCATAATTGCTGTTTCCAGGCCCACCCTGACCCAGGGTGGTAGCACCTGTTAGGGTTCGAACTATGGGCAAATAGTGAACCCCCAAACTGAGGTCAAAACATTATGAAAGTATAAAAATACTTTTTTGTAGTAAGAATACAAGCAATACATTTTCATAGTAAAAAAAAATTACCTGCAATACATTATTGGAAAATGAAGAAAAAAATTACCAAAGCTCCCAAGAAAATTAAACTTCTGCATTAAATGACCCATAAGGTGTTGATATGCCATTAAACAAAACAAGAAAAAGAGAAACATTATTAAGGCAGAAGAACAATAAAAGATGAGCAATCAAGAAGACAGTAGATAACAATTGACATTTCATTTAAAGTTTTGAACATCAAAGTTGACTGAGAAGCATGAAGCCGGAAGAGGGTTCCACAAGCGAGAAGTGTGAGAAAGGAAACTGTTAGTATAGAACTTATGGTCGCATATAGACAGATCCATTATAAAAAGATGAGACCTTGTTGCCAATCTAGTACTGCACTTAAATTTATAAAGTCTAGGTATCATAATGGAAAGTTCATTAGAACAATTACCATGAAAATATTTATAGAAAAGACAGAGGGAAGCTACATTACAGTGATGGAAAAGTGACTGAAGCTGTGATGTCAGGTCAGGATCAATAATATTGCAGATTCTTTGGATTTTATCAAGAATATTTAAAGGAGCTCCTGGCCATATGTGACAACAATAAGAGATATCTCGTCTAGTTCTTATTTCAACAACAACAAAGATGAGGAAAATAGTCCACATGTAATAGTATAATCAATAACTCATCCCAGAAATTCAGATGGTAATCTTTTTTTTATCCTTAAATTTAGCCTATTCTCCTGTATTTTAAACATATTTGTTGACATAGCAATTGTCAGTTCAATCTCTGGGCCAGGCAGTGTGTACTTGGATTCAATGGAAATGGGACAAGCAATAACTGAATAAGAACTAGCTGAGAAAAGCTTAGATGTGGACAGGTGTACAAGAACAATCTATCCCCCACCTGTACATTAAATGAGGGTTCATTTGGCAATTCCATGTAGGTTAGCTAGATTGCTATACACCTGATGAAGGCCGGAGGGCACAAACAACAACAAAGATGAGGATAACAGTCCAAATATGAAGAGTGTAAACAATAACTCTTCATTCCAGGAATTCAGATAAATCTTATTTTCATGTTTTATATAAACATTTAGTTTATTTTGATAATGTCTTTTTAGACGTTTTTTTTAATACACTATTTACATTATTCGGACTATTGTCCTCATCTTTGTTGCCATATTTATCACAGGTGGTTGGAATGTCGAACTGAACCCTTTATTTTGCTCACTGGGGTAGGTCGTTCTAGTTCCACATGCTATATCTAATGGATGTCAGTTATCAGTTATCTCCTGTTAATTCACCTCTCCAAGTTCTCCACTGCATTAACCAGGTATTGAACTCACAACTCTTTGGGTCTTGTCACTGGATCTAACCAATGCCTTTATCCACTGTGCCATGTGTTCTTGAGGACAATGAGAACAATTGTCTTTCCAATTCTTTTGTGAGATTTGTTTAAAAGTCATTAAGAGCCAATCATACACAGTATATTTGGTCATGTTTTTTCTATATTTAATCTCTTTAACTTTTAGCTCTTATCTGCCAAAACAATTTCATTTTTATTACAGACCGATTTATTTGAACTAATCGTCTTTGTGGTTATCATCACACTGTACTCTCTGGTTGCCTTTTTGTGTCTATAATATTTGGTAAGCAACGTCCAAGAATTTCAGACTAAGGGAGTAAATTGATTTAATTTCCTTATGCTAGAGAAAATCTTATGTCATTAAATTCTTTCACTATATTCTTCATGCAAACAGCTTTTTTTCCCCCAGGAACTGCTACTTTGTGAAATGAGCTCCCAGGAGAAAGCTTCCCCAATTACTACAAAATCTCAACCAGTTCAAGTCCAGGGTTAACCATTATCTTCATATATGAGAATATATAACTGTGCTCCTTACCTCATTGTGTAACTCTCTACCTTGAGTTGCTCGTGATCTAATTCTTTTTATACTTAAAAGCTCTACATATTAAAATTTTATATGTGTATTGAGCACTTTTAAATACTACTGTTTCCTGATCTAATTCAACTCTGACCATTTAACTTCATTTTATATATATATATATATATATATATATATATATATGTATGTAAGCAAATATATGGATATGGATCCGACAGTATGAAGAAAAATATACGGAAAAACAAACAAAAATCCTAATATGCAATTATGCTGTTTTAATGTTTAATGTCAACGTTGGACGTTTTGGTCTAATAGACCATCTTATGTTTTATGAATATGTCCTGAAGATGGTCTATTAGACTGAAACGTCCAATGTTGACATTATATTAACATTAAAACAGCATAATTGCATATTAGGATTTTTGTTTGTTTTTCCGTATATTTTTCTTCACATATATATATATATATATATATATATATAAGAAAATGAACATTTAAAAGGCTATGAGGTGATATTTATTTTTTTGATGTTGGAAAATTTGACCTCAACTCTTCAGACCTTGTAATACAAAAATAATATTTTTGTATTTCAAGGTCTGAAGAGTTGAGGTCAAATTTTCTGACCTTAAAGAAATAAATATCACCTCCATGGCCTTTTAAATGTTCATTTTCTTTATAATAATGATTATTGCTTTGTCTCTGGCAAAGAGCTCTCCTTGAATCAATATCCTTTTGGAAATATCCATACCAATTACTAATATTATATATATATATATATATATATATATATATATAAAAGCACATTTTATGGCCTGGGACATTACTACTAAAAATTATTTTGCTTACATGAAATTTTCCACTGCTCACATTTTATTTCAAATGCTAATAAAAGAATTTGTGTGAAGTAAATTTAATGTTGAGACATATTTACAGCTCAGGGTTAATAGCAGCCATATCTGGACTGGAGCTATCCAATTCTCACTTTTCAACCATGACAGAATTCAAAACGCAGATGCAGCCCTGTGGACGATGAATTATTTTTAACCTGACAGCTCTTTTTCCCAAAGACGAAACATTGCAAGCCTATCACTATTCGATCATGAATGTTCAGAGGAGTGCTCCATTCCTTAGTTCCACCAGTTAAGACCTTTACAGCTAAGACCTGCCATGCCATGTACACACGAATGAATCATCCACATTCCCTTCATATTCCATTTGTAAGGAAGAAGTTCCACTTGCATAGCTTTGTTCTGAGAACCGCTACTTTGTGGAATAGTTTCCTAAGAGAATGCTTCCCTGATCACTACAATCTCAACCTATTCATTCTTGTGATGTCACTTTTCTTCCATTGTTCAAGAATTCTAACTTTGTTGCTATACCTGATCCATCAGGGAACTCAATCAACACGACTGATACTTTTATCTAATAGGCCATTCAGCTGTTATTTGATAAATATTGATTTTATGTTTTGTAAATGTGTTTATTAATTCTGTGCATTTCTTTGTCCTGTTTAGATTTTCATGCATGGAATCAATTTAACCACACTTCATCAACATATCCACAAAGAAGTTCTTCCTGCAGAATTAGGAGGGCTGGAACCTCCGTACAACAATCAATATTGGGCCAAGCAGTTAATTGGAGATGAGAACTTCAGTTTTGGAGACAAGCACATTTACTGGCCAAATCATGGCAACTTTAAGTAAGTACTTTTGTTATTACACTCTAATTTCTGCTGCATTTTTAGATCATTGGTGCACAAATAATGACAGATGCATTTATTAAATGAATTTCTAACTGACACTCACCAAGCTGGGATTTAATCTATGCAACTGAGACGGAATTTTAATGCCTTGAAAAATTGAAATAAAAAAGTGTTTTTAAAATAAATCCAGAGTATATTAAATTGTATTCTAATATCTTGGTATAGTGAAGGTGATAGATATTGCATGTTACATCTCCAACATCATTTACTTAGATATATATATATATATATATATATATATATATATATATATATATATATATATAATCTAAGTGAGAGGTTATACTTGTTCCAATGAGAGAAAAGTGTATATTTTAAAGAGAAGAGAGAAACTGAAAAGGTTTTTGGTTATAATGTGGATTTTTTTAAATATGGAAAATAAAATATAATATATATTTAAAAAAATCCATATTATAACCAAAAACATTTACGACTTCTCTCTTCTCTTTAAAATATATATACTGGACTCTCCTATCGTTTTCAACATATGAGGGTCTAAGAACCAACAGCCAGATTAGTCGTACATATCATTTGTTTCTAGTGGTGAAGGCTTGTGCAAAACCAACCACACATTTTGGAAGAGCCAAATACAGATGTTTGGTGTACAGTATGCTGCAAGGTCCCCAAACGAACCTCCACAGGTTTTGAATTTAGAGTTGTCCTTCTCTTAGGCCAGTTACCACCTGAGGCTATAGTTTGTGCTGCTATTTTACCCATAGCTGTGGGGAGAAGGATATTAGCACCTAAGTGAATGTAATGAACTCGACTGGAATTCGAACTTGGCTCTGATTCCTCAATCCAAGCTGCTATCCATTACTCCACACACACACACACATATATATATATATATATATATATATATATATATATATATATATATTCATTCAGTATGGATATGAGTTTGTGACTCTGGGTTTCACACTTTTTCAATCATCAGACAATAAATAAATATATATCTCAATCAGTTCACCCCCAAACAAACGGTAATGCCAGTATGACGCAAGGGGCTACTGGGAGTGAAAGAGAATGAAAAAATATTAGAAGGAACTGGAAACCCAATCCTAAACAGGAAACAAGAGATCTACTTTTACTTCTGTTGAAAAGACTGTGGAGGAGTGTGAACTGGGCAATAAACGAACCTATCTATTCCTATTGAGACAAAATTTCTGAGTTTAGGTGGAGACATTAGAAATATAAAATTGAAGCTAACTTTAAAAAGAAATAGGGGATAAACCTCTACACTTCTATGTGGAGAGCAGGATGTTAGAATGTGTATAAGGGTGGGCAGCAAGATTCTTAGTCGTACCTTCTTCTGAAATGTCACACTTTGGGGAAGAAATTCTCTTGGTTATTACAAGAGTTTTTCAACAGCTCCAAGATATGTGGAATATATTAATTTTTGACCTAACCACATGAATGTTTGTTTGTATGTGTCTGTACACACACATATATCTATATAGGTGTGTGTATATATATATATATATATATATATATATATATATATATATATATATATATATATAAAGTCTGTTTCACTGTATCAGAGCTCATCAGTGTGGCTAGATATCCAATTGCTTCAAACCAGGATTGAAACTCAACCAATTTGACATCAGCCAGAGACTCTACCCCTAAGTTATTGCCACATGTCAGAGAAAGGGAATTGTCTAACATATTATATACATGATGTATACAAATGTCAAATCAGTAGCCAAGAGCACTCAATTCATAACTGAAGAGTAATGCATTAATAGCAGGAGCAGCGACTATTGAAAATTTTTTCTCTATAGTGTTCAATCGGCAAACGAGAGCATAGATATATATAGAGAGTGTGTGTATATATATATATATATATATATATATATATATGTATATATATATATATATAGTCAACAACAAAATTATTCGTACACCCATTAATTTGGAATATTTTTATCCATTTCTCAGAATTTAAATCTCTGTATCATGCCAGGTTTTTCATATGTTAATAAGCACTAAAAAAAGGAATATAAAACTCATTTTTCAGAACAATAGGTTAAATACGACAAATTTGACAAGCGAATTTTATTCTTTTTTTGTGCTTATTAACATTTATGAAACCTTAGGCATTAGATTCTGAGAAATTGCTAAAAAAATATTGAAAAATGGTGGATGTACAAATAATTTTGTCATTGACTGTCTATATATATATATATATATATATATATATATATATATATATAAAATTTAAGATTAATTACCTTTAAGCTTACCAA